CTAATTTTACCAAACATTTTTCTCAAATAAGCTAGTCTTCAACTATAGGTCATAAGATATCAGCTATAAGCTCGAAATGCACTTAAAAGCTGCATCAGCTAGGTTTGCCAAACATAGTCTATAACTAAAATGTCCTTTTCTAAATTTGGTAATTGAACCAACATGAATAGTTTACACTTCATCTTTACCTGATTTCATTTTTCGTACCCTACAGATGTCTGTACAGGAGTTACCAGCAAACTCATCCTTTAAAGATCTGTTGGAAAAGGCCGGTCAGGGCCTTTCTAGTTGGGCTTCGTATGGGGTTTCCACTAAACAGGACCTAATGCCAAGGCTAAACCATGAGCCCATTAGCGACCTGGCCTGCAAGTTGAAAATGGGGGATGTTGTGGAGTTTACACCTGCCTTACCGGACAAGTCGCTGACCGATTACCGGGAAGAAATTCAGCGTATGTATGACCGTGGTGTTAGGGTGGGGCTGACGGTGGGGTCCACCAGTAGGTCGAGAAGCTGACACGACACATATTCAGTTGATTTTCATTCTTTAAAAGTAGTGCTTTTTAGTTCATTGATGAGATAGTCTTTTATAGTTATTCTTGTACATAAAAAATCATTTGTTTGTTTCCAAAAAAAAAAAAAAAATGCTATATGTATAGAAGTGTTTCTTGGTTATGTTATTAATGGAATTATCTCTAAATGGGAATTTATGTTTCATCTGTTCTTCCTTGTGTTCTTATTGGGAAATTGATTGTTGCCATTTTCAGCATTTTGTTGTAGGAATCGGAATTTGGATGGACTATGTGATCTTATTTGAATTTTCATTTCATTGAATCATGGATGTATTAAAACTCTCTCTCCTAAAGCCTTTTCTCTCGCTCATGAAGAAAAACCAGATCTTGGTGTGCCTCTTCTCTTCCGCCTCAGGTCTTCCTCCTTCACGGGTAGACCAACGTTGGGGTGGAGCTCGTCAGCGCGGCTGTGGCATCAGGCTTTCTCTCGGCCTCAATTCTCCCCTTCATGGTGAGTTTGTCAGGCCGGTCGGGGTGCCGGTCTTGGAGCGCGGTCGAGGCTTCTAGCAAAGGCCGCCGCCCTCGTGGTGGCCGGAGCTAGCGGCGACAAGGGTGTCTCCCTCGGGGTTGTCCGATTTCTAAGTTTGTGTTGGGAGATTTCCCTCAGATGTGTTGTCTTTTGGTTTGTTTGTTGGTTCTTGGTTTGTTTGTTGGTGTCGGGGTTGTGTTGGGGGAGGTGTCGGTTGTTGGGTCTCGTGTTGTTGTCCAGTGGTGATTCGTTTGGATGGAGGGTCGATCCTCGTTGCTTTGGTTCTAGTTAGCCATATCATGTTGAGTTGAAGAGTCTAGAATTTCTAGATCTGGAGTTGGGGCTTGATTCTGTGTTTTTGGGGTTATCGTCGACTATCGCTCCGCCGAAGAGGTTAGGATTTTTATTGCATAGGTATGAGTTGTTTGGTTTATTTAGCGTTTCTCTTTGTTTGTTGTTTTTATCTTAGTCCAGTTGCGTCTGACTTTAGTCTCCGTTATGAAGTTTGTTGTCTCCGTTTTGGAGTCTTTGTGTTCCAACAAACAAACCAAAAACAACACATCGGCGGGGAATCACCACAAAACCTCAGAAATCGGACAACCCCGGAGGAGACACCCTTGTGGACGCTAGCTCTGGCCACCTCAAGGGCGATCACCTTCCCGGGAGGCCTTGACCGTGCTACAAGACCGGCACTCCGACCGGCCTGACGAACTCGTCATGAAGGGGAGATTTGAAGCCGGGAGAAAGCCTGACGCCACAGCCGCGCTGACAAACTTCATCACGACGCTGGTCGACTCGTGAAGGAGGAGGACTGAGGCAAATAGAAGAGGCGTGCTCAGATCTGGTTTTTTTATTGTCATGTGGAAGGGAGAAGACTTGTCAAATAGTAGTTGACATAGTATACATATAAAAGAATTGTGGATGCAGAAAACTCTTGTTGGGAGACTCATCCACCACTGCCAGGTGTGCGACCCGGGTCGACCAACGAATTAGTCGGGGCATAGTTCCGGATACCTTGGCTGACTACCAAAAAAGAGAAAAAAGGAACTCAAACAGAAAGTAAAACCAAAAGGAACAAAAGACTTAGGGACATAACGATCATATGTTTAAAAAAAAAAGAAACATTTCAATCAGTCTCTGCGAAACAATTCTATCAGAACACACAAAAGACCAATTGCATGTCAAGCAACTGCTGCATTCTCTTATGTTTATTAAGATACTCTCTTTATTCAAGCTTTCCCTTCCTTTCTTGCTCCATCATGTGTACTTGTCAAATTCCCGATCTCGTCGCCTTCGAATCCTACCCGTTCCAAAATTTCATCAGCGTCTGGGCAGCTGGGGCCCACTATCCCCTGCTCTCCACGCTCGGCACCCCCACCATTCTGAATTAATATAAAAACCAATTTATTTTTTTCCCAAGATTAGTAGAACCACTATGTCAATTAACTTAAAACATTTTTATACTTTAAAAGCTTCACTAACAAGATACTCGTGCTAGTATGTACCTCAAAAGAACACGTGTGGTCGGCCCCCAACTTTCTTATCTTGAACAAGCTCGACTGTCCAACGCGCGAAGCCCTCATAAACCACTCGCACTCTGTACATGCACACTTGACGTAGTACTGCCTTGCGCACGACTTCTCCACCTTGAACTGATACTGGTTTTTTATCGCATGCAGGCTTATCATTTCCTGTAACGCGGCTTTATTGGAGAATGAATGTCCAACAACAATATCAGAGTAATCTACATCCTCATTACCACGAAACATTTCTGAATAAAGCTTATCTTCGATATATTTAGCCTCTTCAACCATCGTCTCGGCCACTTTATGCGCAAATCCCATGAAATTCATCGAGTTTTCTTCGTCCGGTAGAAAATCTTCTATTTTGATACATCTTAGAGGAGCTACATTGCACTCGTACGATATTTTATCTCGTTCGTCGGTTAATGGTTCGACCACTACGCATATCGGGAATTTTGTGTAGTCGGCTTCTCTCGACTTGAGCTCCGTATAGAATGCGAGGCTGTCGTCGTCATATATAGACATAGGTGGATACCATTCTTTCACTGGATACTTTAATTCCAGCCGATTTGTAGAGGAGTTTAATTTGAGTTGATCAAACACCAAATTGCAGAATTCAGTGTAGGTGCAATTTTTGCTTAGTAAGACACCTCCGATTGCGTAGTTCACGTATTGTTCATTTTCCCAAGTTCCGTTATGATGAATGAACACTATTAAATTTGACATTTTTCTCTGCATATAGAAATTATCACATAAATTGATGAATATATATAAGTGATTTTTTTTTTTGGAAAAATAAAATAATTAAGCATATCACGATTGTTACGGATGATTGATTAGTTGCGTGGTTTAAGGGATATAATGACGGGTGGTATATATGAATGGAAAATGCTACGGTCCCGTTACGGAATCATCCAATTGGAGTTTGTAACCGTTATATCATCATGTAACCATCAGGAATAGTTGATCTAACTGATTACAGATCTCGACGGAATGGTTCCGTAACGGAACTGTAGCATCTCCTTGTATGATAATTTTAGGGATGATTGATTAGTTGCATTATTTAAGGGATAAAATGGTGGGGGTCCTAATATCTTTCAACAAATTGGTAAATATGATTCAACTTTTCAATGGTAATAGATCTGCTAATTGAATCTTAAATATCCTGTAAATTCGCCATTTTTTATTTTGAGAAAATTATCTCTACACTAGACATTTCACGGTTTTGCTATGGAGCCAACAGTTAGCTCTATAGTAGAGCCAACCTTGCAAATAAACCTATCATATTTTTT